TTGTATGTGCTATCTAGCGTATGATATTGATGTGATGATTATGTTATTGTGGGAGGGTTGAGGCGGTACTACTTTGTGCTGAAGGCTAGCAAACCTTGGGCGGCCCGGATAGACTGAAGGCCCAATGGGGCGTACCAGTCAGGCCGAAGGCCCGGAGAACGGTCCAGACAGGATGAAGGCCCGGTAGGGCGGTCCAGACATGCTGAAGGTTCTGAGGAGTGGGCCAGATAGACTGTAGGCCGGTGAGGCGGACCAGTCATGTTGTAGACTCTGTATGCATACTGTTTGTTATGATATTGTTCTGGTTTGTATGGCGTTGGTATTTTGGGGGAATTCACTAAGCTTCGTGCTTATAGTTTTGGATCTGCCAGAGGAGCTCAATCAGATTCATAATACTTTTCATGTCTCTCAGCTGCGGAAATGTTTGGTTGATGATTCCGCAATGGTTCCATTGGAGGACATTCTGGTGGATGATCGCCTGAATTATATAGAGAGACCAATTATGATCCTTGACAGGAGAACGAAGACACTTCGAAACAAGGTTGTGGATCTCGTGAAGGTGCAGTGGCAGCACCGAAAGGGTTTTGAATGGACGTGGAAGCCTGAAGACGATATGAAAGAGCATTACCCATAGCTATTTGCAGCAGCAAACTTCGAGGACGAAGTCTAATTCAAGTGGGGGAGAATTGTAACACCCGATTTGATATATTTTTCATTTTGACCCTTGGTGTGTAATTAGTTTGCAAATTTTTTTCCTTAGGGGCATTATTATAATTTTTGGGAGGGGGAGTGTGTATGCTGGGCGTACCTCTTGTACGCAGGGCGTACACAATTAGGAGACGAACCCTAATTTTAGGGTTTGGACCCTATTTAAGCAACCTTATGCCCAAGGTTTCCTCCTTACCAGACTCCATAGCCTCTTTTGATTCCCATTTCGAAACCCTAGCCCATTCCAAGAGAGAGTTGACATTTATGTATGTTTTGGTGTATGTTTGATGTATCTCTAAGAGGAAGAAGCTTGGTTGAGGAACACTGATCAAGGAGGAGCTTGTAGATCCATATTCCGTTCACCATTTCCAGCTTCATAGAGGTATAAAGCTTTAACCTTGCTCGTTCTATGCTTAGATCTAGATCTAGTACAGTTTTGGTCACTTTTTGGTCCCATGAATGACATATAGTGGGAATTTACCACTCCAGACGTTATGAGTTGCTCATCTTGATGTTTCTGAGATCCCTAGTCCATAAAGTTAGCATTTTGATGGTTGAGGATCAACCATGCATGAGTATATGTCCATTTGGTGAAAGTAGGATACTAAATCTAAGGTTTGAGTCCATTGGAGCCATGCAAAGGCACCAAGTTAGTGATTGTATGGATTAAGACGTTCCCCAAGGTTTGGATCTGGAATATGGATGTTTGGTTTTAAGCATTAAGTTCTTAATGGGAAAATGGCTTAATGGGGTTGTACGCAAGCGTACGTGTTTGGATGAGCTTTTGACTTTTTGGCCATTATTGGGCTTTTGTGCCATTGAGTTTGAGCCACGACAATTGGGCCAACTGAGGGAAGGTAAAATGGTCTTTTACTCTGGGAGTCAGGATTAGTTGGTTAAAGTCCCGATTATGGTTTATGACCCAATTATTAATTAGGGTTTTATTTGATTGGTTAGTACGGGGGTTCTCCGATTCAGTAGCCTGTGCATCTATTCGATTGTCAGTGGACTGAGGTGAGTTTGCTCACTATACTATAGGACACTAGGGTTTGTATGTGCTTGTAGTCTTTATAACTCCTGTTGTATGCCTTTATGCTTGTGTGCCTGTTTTCTATATGTATGTGGGGTGAAATAGACCTGATACAACCTTGTGCTAACAAATGAGATGAAATAGACTCGGGGGTGAAATAGACTCGATATAGCCTTGGACTGACATATGAGTTGAATTAGCCTCAGGGGTGAAATAGACCCGATACAACGTTGAGCTTACATATATGTATGGTATGCGGTATTTTGGGGAACTCACTAAGCTTTGTGTTTACAGTTTGCAGTTTATGTTTCAGATATTTCTGGTTCGAAGAGGAAGAGATCGAGATGATCGCATTGCACACACCATGATTTTCCGCTTATTTAACTTTGATATACTTTTGGAATGTTTATGGATAATTTTTGAACACTTTATGGTTTTGATAAACATGTTTGATTGGTGGTTGATTTAATATAAAAACAAAATTTTTTGGTTTTGAGATTGGGACGTTTTACCTTCATGGTCGAAATCGTGAGACCCCTAACATCCATGGACTTTTATTTTTCCAAAATCGATCTGTTGTGTTTCCTGGATACCCATAAAATTGACTTTATGAGTGTTCTTTAGATTCCTGACCCAATTGACTTTTACATCCACCCCAATGCATCTAATATTCAGGGTCATACAATTCATTGATCACATATTTTCTCACAAGTTTCATCCATTGTTTCTGGAAGAATTGAACACCCAACGTCGACATGAAAACCAATCGCTGCCCTAATCTTAGCTGTTTCAGCAATTTCATTTGATAATGGGTCATCATTAGTTGTCTCTGATGATAATGAGTAGTTGGGCTTCGATGGATTCAGGTTTAGATCAGTATCTGGATTCACCGAGTTGAATTTCACCGATTGTAACAGTAGAGGAGAGGGAGTTGTTATGTTTTGTGTTTGAATCAGATTGCTGGGGTGATGCAATCGGAACCCCAATTTATCTCTTTTCCTTTTTTTTATGTAATAGTCTTCCACTATTCGAGTTAATACCATATTTATGTTCGTTATTTTGGGTCTGGGGGATGTGAATGAAAAATGAAGAGCATTATTGGGGAACGGCCCAAAGCACCCCAATAAGACCAAGTTCTGTAGTGGCCCAATAATATGAGTAATTGTGGCACCAGGTAAGGGAGTGGGTCCTACCCCGAATCTGGATTTATTAACTACTTGGGTAAATAAGGTAGGGATTTCAAACGTCCCCCCCCCCCCCCGGCAACATTGGAACCAACTTCTACGCCATTACTATCTACCTTGTAGTTCACACTCAGTGGTAACGTGCCTAGAGACCTTCTATTAGCTTGCGTCAGCGACGTCTTTTCCATAGCCTTGTCGATGATTGGATTAGCCGATCGGTCAGGATTAGTGTTGTTCACCATTTGGATAAAACCGAATTGTCCAATTGGACAATTTGGATTGGACTATTTCGTTTGGATATTCGGATTTTTGGATTGGTTTTCAACAAAAACGGATTATTATGTTGGATATTAGATTGGTTTTTGCTTATAAAATAAGAACCAAATAGTCCAAAAAAACCGAATAACAATTTGTTATGTATTTATTTTCAATATATCTATAATTATTTATTAATTTTATAATATTTTTTTCAAATAAGTTCAAAACATTTTACCTAATAAAAGACATTCATATGTATTTTCTTTCAAAAGTTTTTTATCTATTAAATAATAAACTATAATATACCTTCTTAGTGGTTATTTATAAATTTTAAATCACAAGTAAATAACTTGTTTTTGCTTCTTTTGTAAAATTAGATAATATTATAATTTTATATCGTTTTAAAATGTTCTGGTTTTTGAAAACTGAATTATAAAACCGATTCAACCGAATTGTAATTGGATCGGATCGGATCGGATCGGATTTGAATTAGTTTGGACTATTCGGATCTACATTTTGAAAACCGAAATCAATTTGGATTTACTTAATTGGATCGGTTCGAACCGATCTATCTAAATGAACACCCCTAGTCAGGATACTCCGATATATCTTCCTGACGAATTTCTGCTTCCTCTGGTTCGTCGTTTTCTTCCACCATCCAGGTCTACGATATCCCATCAACATCATCATCATCTTCGACGTCTGATTCATCTACTTTATTGAATGAGGCTTATTTGAATGGGACCAGTCGTCTGTGTATTCCACCACCCCACATGATATTCCATTCCATTAGATTTGATTGTAATTTCTTCGTTTATCCATTTTATTTCCGACGTAATAACCCCCGCCTTTCCTATAGAATAATCTATCCTATTATAGATATTATCAAATGGGTTGATAACTTTCCCGAATCTTCTTGCAATTACAGAGAAGTTATTTTTATCCCATAGAGGTAGTAACACACCAAGGATTTTAAGCCACGCGATTCTTTCATATTGCAAGTTGTGTTGATCTGCTCGTATTACCCATTTGAACTAATCTTTCCACCGACTCTTGTCCTCCAGATACTCAGTAGCAGCAACTGTGCAGCTAAAATGGATAACAAGTCTGAGTCCACTGAGGTATTCAGTTTCATTCTTCATTATGCCAGAAGCATGTATTGTTCCGGTGTGATCCAGACTGTGCGCTTTCACCGATCAACATGCTTTTCTTAATCTAGTCTTTCATGTGTGTGTGTTGGTGTTGAGTACTACCAACAATGTAGTTCTCTTTGGCATCCTACCACTCCAACCAGTGGTTACTTGAGTGAAAGCCCGACTATCTTTCGCCATCGGGGTTTGTGAGGAGACACCACGAGAGGTGCATGGGTGTGTAAGCAATCGCTCAGTGGTTTTCTGACGAGTTTCGTGGGTTTGGAATTGATTGGATTTGCGTAGGTGCTTCACGATATTAACTTCCAGTACTTTATCTCTGCATTTGATACCATGTAACTTGTTCTCCATGTTCTTGGCATCTTTGATCCAAACCAACTTGACAAATGCAAAATTCTTTTTGTAGTAATCCTTCTTCATACCAAAGTACACATCCATAACCTTCCCATAACTACCATATGGTATGCGTAACTCATCCTTCCTCGTACCATTAAGAAATCCCGCCACGTAGAAATTGTTGGAATCCTAAGTCGATGAGGACTTAGAGACCAAGCAATCTAATTTATGGAAAGTTTAGTTTATGACAAGTTGGTCATAAGTTTCCTAGTCTAATACAAGTTGGTTTGTTAGGCTATATATACATGTTCATAATCGAGTTTATGATTATGAGAACAAATTGTAAAACATCGGTTTTGAGTTAGTTTCCGATTAATCAAAGAGTTATTTTGGTTATTTTTTTTTGTATTCTTGTTTTCAAAACTTTAATTGATATCAGAGCGAGGTTAAGACGGTGCCCGTTTGAGAGTCGGTTTCAAGAAAACTGTAGCCTTTCGTTGTGGGGCAGACGCAGCGGGAACCGGGTTCGGTTTAAGGGGGTGTGGATTGTTTTTGAGCGCGAGTTGAAGCATCTCAATAACATCCCCAATTTCTCTTGATCGGACTTGTTCTACGGTAGAGAGAGACTAACCGGAGGCACATAATAAACGAACGGGAAGACATAAAGCGGGTAGCTTTGATTCAGTTCATTTTGCGGGTGACGAAAGATGGTAAGGTGGTCATGACCTTGTCTTGTTGTTCGGTGGAAAAGTGCTCTCGGAACAAGCTTGATTAAAGAGGTCGGGGTGGTGAAAAGAGATAATAGGATGTTGATCGGGGTTGAAGAATTTTTCTAGAAGGACTTAGAGATTCGGGGGTGATTGTTGGAATCCTAAGTCGATGAGGACTTAGAGACCAAGCAATCTAATTTATGGAAAGTTTAGTTTATGACAAGTTGGTCATAAGTTTCTTAGTCTAATACAAGTTGGTTTGTTAGGCTATATATACATGTTCATAATCGAGTTTATGATTATGAGAACAGATTGTAAAACATCGGTTTTGAGTTAGTTTCCGATTAATCAAAGAGTTATTTTGGTTATTTTGTTTTGTACTCTTGTTTTCAAAACTTTAGAAATTAGTGAGTTTGATGTTCTTCGGTGCTCTGTTGCCATTTTTCCTTCGCCTAACCTCTGTTTACTCTTTGTTTGGATGGTGACCCCTCATTCAGAGAGTCTTATGAAATTTAATAATTAACGAGTTCCACTAGCAATATTTTAGGTATCTCCGAGTTTAAACCATAAACCTATTTTATAGAACTATTCGCCTCCCATGAGTTGGTAATTCATAAACGAATTGTCATCTTTATTAAAATATATTTAGTTGATTTGTATTGTTTAATACCATATATATAATTTAATAAGAGTTATGAAAATATGAAAATGGGTACACCAAGGAACACACCGAGTCAAAGATCAAGCTTCTGGTTTAAAAAAATGTTCAAATATTTTTGGAAATATATCGATAGGTTGAAATCGAAAAACCGACACCAAAAACCAAAAGCCAAAAACCATAAACCAAACCTAATAGGTTTGAAAAACCAAAACCGAAATTATTAGTTTCAATTTGGCCCATGCTCAACTTAGATATAGACAAATCACTTGGGTTGTGGTGACTTGGTAAGGCATGTGGAAGATATGATGGATAACCTGTTGACTCATGTTCAAATCATGGCACTACTCAGCCCTTGTGGTCATGAAGGTTCGCCTGCAGTGACTTCAACGCATGAGGCAAAACCTCATGTTTGCAGCGGAGATTAGTCAGTGCGCGAAAGCTGTCCCGGAAACCCTCGTTAGGAAAGTTCCATTTCCAAAAAAAAACTTAGATATAGACAATTAAAATATGACTTTTGATGAGAATCAACATAAACCTGGATTTTGGAGGTGTAAAAACTAAAAAGTATAATCCTTCTAGAAATTCATATTTGATTTTCTATAATCATAAAGTACCTTGAGCGGAAACTATAAATCTTGGTAAGCCCTTAACCGAAATCAAAGTGTATTGTCACAGTCTTGACTCTTGAATCTTCCACCAAAACTGACAACTCAATTCTCCTTTCTCCGCCACAACCACCGCCGCCGATCACCGCTATCGCTATCATCGCGACCGCAACTGCCGTCGTCATTATCACACAATCATCTCAATATCCAATATCTTCAAATGACATCAAATTCCAATTACATAAACTAAAATGGGTCGAAAATCTATCATTAAACAAACCGTCGCTACGGTCCTTTTAATCATAGTCTTTTACGCCTTCTTCAACACATCTATCTATCCTTATACATACAACAATGTACATTTCCACACACATGAAAATAGTATCGGTAAAATCCCCCAAAAATCAGTGAAAGTTTACATGTACGATCTGCCCCGAAAGTTCACCTATGGTGTGATAAAAAACTACTTAATCGTACGAGGCCAATCGGAAAACGAAGACGAGGCTAGCCTCAAGTACCCTGGAAATCAGCACGCGGCTGAATGGTATCTGTTTTCGGATTTGAATAATCCGAAACGATCTGGTGCGTATGTTACTAGGGTTTTAGATCCAGATTCAGCCGACTTGTTCTATGTGCCGTTTTTTTCTTCATTAAGCTTAGTCGCAAATCCTGTTCGTGATGGGCCTGTAGTAGTTGAGCATTATAATGATGTTGAAATGCAAGAGGATTTGATGGAGTGGTTGGGGAAGCAACCGTATTGGAAGAGGAACCATGGGAGGGATCATGTCTTCATATGCCAGGATCCGAATGCTTTACACAATATTGTTAATCGTGTGAAGGATGCGATGTTGCTTGTTTCTGATTTTGGGAGATTGGGTCATAATCAGGCGTCATTTGTAAAGGATGTGATCTTGCCTTATTCACATCGGATTACTACCTATAAAGGAGATATTGGAGTGGAAAATCGGAAATATTTGATGTTCTTCATGGGAAATCGATACCGAAAGGAGGTATGTATCATTGTCTCTTTTATACATTGCTTTGTGTACTCTGTTTCTGAAATCATCACGTGTTCATAGTTATATAATCTTGAGATTTCTAGATCTTTACTTTTCTAAAATCACCATCCCCTAAACTAGTTTGTTAATTCCAAAGTCTTGTTCTAGAATTCATTATAAATTCTGGATTTTTCATATAAATAAAGAAGAATGGAAGTGAAATCCATCAACTATGGAATCTTGAATTCCAGTTCTCTCTCTTGGTTCTTATGTTCATAACTATTGTATTGCAGGGAGGAAAAATTCGTGACTCCCTGTTTAAAATACTAGAAAATGAAGAAGATGTTGTGATAAAACATGGCACTCAATCAAGGGAAAGTAGGCGAATGGCTACACAAGGAATGCATAGTTCAAAGTTCTGTTTACATCCAGCTGGCGACACACCATCTGCATGTAGATTGTTTGATGCTATTGTGAGCTTATGTATTCCAGTCATCATCAGTGATTATATTGAATTACCCTTTGAAGATGTCATAGACTACAGGAAAATTGCTGTTTTTGTGGACACGGATTCAGCTGTTACACCAGGATACCTGGTTAAATTGCTTAGAGGGGTGAAGACAGGGACAATATTGGAATTTCAACAAGAGTTGACCAAGGTATGTAAATGTAAATGTATGATGCTATTTCTTGAATTTAGCCTTTGTTATATTGTTGTAATGATCTATATTATGTTACTAATGTGATTAGGTAAAGCACTATTTTGAGTATGATGATCCGAAGGGGAGTGTGAATGAGATATGGCGACAAGTTTCATTAAAAGTTCCGCTTATAAAACTTATGATAAACCGTGACAAAAGACTAGTCAAAAGAGAACTCTCTGAGCCAGATTGTTCTTGCCTTTGCACTAACCAAACAGTGATCCATGAATCCTTTCATGATGCTGCTTCTTAATTTCTATTTATTCATTCAGTTTTTAGGATATAATAGGTTAGTCCTTTTGCGATTAATAAGAATTTTTTTAGTGCTAAAGTAAGAAATCAAGATTTATTATGTAGTTATACTGTTATAGTATGTCAAAACACGCAACTAAAATTGGACTGATCTAGCGGTATCAGGAGTTGACAGATAGAAGTCCCTCAACCAAAGGTTGAGGGGTTCAAGTCCTCATGTGGACGAAAGGTGTAGATTTGATAGTAGTGTAGTGTGTGTGTTTATAAGGTGTTCTAAAAAATTGGACCAAAATAACACATCCTCTTCATTCTATAGTATTTATAAGGGGGAGTCACATTTGCAAATTCAAGATTCCTTTCTTTAGCGGATTTGGTTGTCAAATATATGGAATTCAACTTTTGTGGTAGTCGCCCACATTCCATGTTTCATGAATTTAACTGAGAGGGGATGATGAAAGGAATTCAATTCGATTATTATTATTATTATTATTTTATCAAAAGAGCTATACACTTTTTTATATTATATGGAAATAAATATGACCAAAAAATATATTTTATATATTTACATGTATATTAAAAATCATTTAATTTAATCTATTTTCTACTTACCAAAACGTAAATTTTAATTATTTCTGATTTTTTTGAATTTTTTTTTTTGAATCAATGCCATATTAGCTTTTATTTTTGTATGTATAAAATATCTTGATAGTCACTTATTTTGGGATTTTTAATGGTCAATTTACCTTGAGATGTACTCTGATGTACTTATCACTATGGTTGACAATATAACATACGTAAATAAATGATTAATTAAAGCTATGTTTCACACACTAAATAAATTAATTTATTTTCCGAGTTTTTAGATTGTAATGTTTGACAAATAAAAAAGAAGCCGATAAACTAGGTTATATGCTAAATTGCTAAAAAGCTATATACACTAGCTTTTTTAAAATTTTCTACATATGTCTTTAATTAAATTAACTAGATGAGTGTCCCCCGCGTTGCGGGGGTTGGAATGTGTCGTTTTTGTGTGAAAGTATTGTACATTGCTTCAATTGGTAGCTGCGGTAAAGTATGTTTCTATTCTCCCTACATTTCACGTATTTACAAACGGATAATAGCCATAATTTAGATACAACAACTGCTAACCATAAAACATCTACAACCTATGGAGAAACTCTTTATTACCTTGTTTCTCCCTATCCATTATTCATCATCTTAACCTGCAGAATTGAACAAATTAAAAAAGTTTAAGAAGGTAGATAACATTTAAAAGAAAATACAAATACGAATTGATAAGCCATTTCATCTAAGTAATGAACTCTAATACAAAGTCTGAGGACTTTTGGTAAAGATGACCCAAATGAGTGAAAGAATGTGAACCATCATATGATCCTAGACAACAAAGTATTTTCATCTATTTGCGTATGAGTTATTTTTGTAGAATAAATGAAAATACCATGCTATATTTGTCATAAAAATCAAGGTACAATAAATGGATTAATGTCTTAATAAGAATAAAAATAAAAGTACAAAGTATGACGCTATTTACCAGAACTTTTGCGCTTCCGAAGCATGTGCCGGTGAGAATGAAGATTCAGCTACATATTAGATTGTCTACAGTTTAACACCAAATATCTCAATAAATAAAGTAAAAAAAAAATACAGGATTAACAGATAAGGTTTACATACATACCAGAAGGTTGTGCATGACATCATGAAGATGTCCTTCATTAGGCGAGTCATTTGAGTCCTATTTGAGAAAAATTAAATAAGAAATTGCTTACTAAAATGATAATTTATTATACCTTGCCTGTGTGAAGTCAATAGTGAGGCCTCTTGTCACCTCAACTGCAGCAACTCCAGCAAGCTGAACATATCATCATGATTGAAAATCCCTGACAAATTGATAGTTTAACAAAAAGTAGGTTGTTATAAATAACGAAACTTTATAAGTAGGTTACTGTTTTAGAACAAAAATATAACAAATTGTACAAACCTTCGTAAGAGTAAACGTACTTCCAAGCCGCTGAGTTTAGCATGTGGTTAAGCATAGTAAAAAAAATGCTTTTTCATCTTCTACACATTTCTCAGCAAGTAGCTGAAAACCAAATCTTTTCTATGCATATTTAACAAATCAGAATATTAAAAAGATAATCTAATATAACATGTATAAGGGAAAATTAGTTAATTTGTAATTACAGACCCTATAAATCAATAACCTCACAATTTACCTCTGAGGACGGGTTTGTAGAACCTAAGTGTGGCTTTCTATTTTCCTTCCTTCACGACATTTGGAATCTTGAATTCCAATTCTAGTTCCACTATTGAATGGAATCTTTAATTCCAATTCGTCAAAATACGACATAATCCACACAGGCTCTACCATGATTCTCCTGTGAAAAAAATTAATCTTAGTTAATATATTTAAAAAAAACCTCTTACTATATTATTAATCATTCAAAACCAATGAGATTTATATAGTAAAAGCTAAATAGATATCGTAAATAAGTAAATTATAGTAGAATGGAAAGAACCTGAAGGAGTGAGCATTGATATGATGCAATTTTCTAGTAAAGATTCACCTGTAGCAGATGCGTACATTACAAAAAACAATTTTACAATACATTTTTTTAAAATAAATAGAAAGAATAATTAACATAACCCAAACATTCCATAAAATATAAAATATTAAAAACAAACGTTGCTAATAACACAACTGAATAATGTTACTGCCTGATTAATCATTATATAATTTCACTATTCCAAATAAATTTTAAATGTAAACATAATATGTATAAAAAATAAATGAATTTGTAGTTAAAAAGAGTTTATACTGCAGATTCCCATTCCACTTCATGATGGAATAAAAATAGTTTTATTACTTCAAGAATAATCCAATTCCGTTTAATCAGACAAAATAAACAACTTTTTTAACTCCAACTCTCAGAATGGGATGAACCATTTCATTCCTTTTACGATTCCATCATACCAAACAATACAACATATTCTCATTTTCACTTTACTTCCAAAGTTTTTCAATTCTAGTTGGAATATAACCAGGAGTACTAATCATACCAAATGTCAAGTAAAAATTTGGAAGTAAAAGAACATATATGTTGTTTAAACATAAGGCTATTTGACCTCACTTACTTTTGTATGGAAATAACAAAGAATTAGCAAAGAAGGTGAACAGGGAGAGAAATCAAAAGGGTATAATTGGAAAATTAAGCATACCATCCATTCTTTGTAGCCTCGAAAACCTTAAGCTTTAAGCTTTTTGACATAATATGGGTGAAATCGTCGATCTAATACTGGAATACTCCATCTATGACATACTGTGAACCTGAAAGTTGAATATCCTCGAGCCTTGGTTCCTTCTCCCGAAACTCCAATCCCCTATGTCTTCACAGCAAGAACATCGAAAACAAAAAAAACATATAAAAAAATCGGAAATTACCAAGACATTGTTAACCGAAATTTCCCAAAATACGAAAAAATTGCAGACAAAAGAAGATAAGATAGAGAAAGAAGATGATCTAAGAGCTTAGTGAAATCTTACCCAAACGGAAACAACCAAAGCAGATGATGGTGTCTTCAATGTGAAGCACTGTTAATCAAGGAATTGGGTTTGTTTGGGTGTAGCGCTTCCATGGAGAAGAACAACAATGAAAACGGATTTGATCGGTGGGGCGCTTTTAGGGCTTGTGGGCGCCGACGATTTTGAAACTCACTTTCGAGGGTAGGAGCTGGTGGAGGTCGACAAATCTCAGAAGAAGAAGAGAGCCAGTCGAGAAAGCGTCGTCTGTTTCTTTAAAAAGGAACAACGACAAATGTAGAAGGCGTGAACCGGAACCTTTGTCGCCAGAGAAGAAGCGTCTTTCCCTTAATTCCCGGTTCATTCAAAATTTGAAACGTTTTTGTAGAACAGCGAATTAGATATAAGAAATTAGCTAATAACCTTAATAGGTCAAAAATATGCTCTCACATTAAAACACCTAAACATCACACATAGGTCTGAAGTTGCATTCAGTTAACCGGTATAAGAATAGTTCGATGTGAGGTCATGCCTGCCATTTTATGGACCTCATACCTGTAAAACCTGTCAATAAATTAAAATAAGTTTAACACAACCCAATTTGAATTCACCTTCACAATATACATCAAAGGCTTGAAGAATCACAGCTAGAACATCTGTAAAAGCTTTTATGATCATCTGTTCAAGAAGGAAGCAATATGTGCTGTGTTCATCATTAGTAAAAAAAAAAGCAAAAAAAAGAGAGATTTTTTTTGTTCATGAGGAAACTTACATACCGTACAATTCCAATTTTGATGATTTGATGGGGCAACATCTACAACAAAGGTAGAAAAATATATACCTGCAGAAAAAATATCAAAAAAAAAAGTAATTTCTATGAAATCGGATAAGCTTTAAATAAAAAATTTAACGTATCAAACAAACGACACAAACACCCCTATGAATCGTTGAACAAGCACAATCCCAAACATTTCCTCATCTGTTTCCTGCTTTTCCTAGTCAAACAACAACCCTATCAAATCCTGTCACAAACAAATCCAAACAATCCATTTTGTTCCATTTCTGTTGAAATAAAAAAAAACAACAAAAAGAAAAAGAAGAAGAGGATCAGGGGAGCTGCCGGAGCAGACCCCATTGACGCACCTGCCCAACCTATCTCTTTTTCCTCCATCGTGCCTGTCGATTTGAACAACAATCGAAACACCTCTGTGAACTCAAAGAAACCACCCAACCACCCCCTCCCCCCTTACGGCTACTGTACTGATCTCACTCTCTCGTTTTTGTTTGGAACCAACGAAGTAGAGAAGAAGAAGGACCGACGACCTAACTGATTGTGGTGAGCCTCCATCCGACCCTTACTGTTGCTGATTTTGTTTTCTTTTTCTTCGATTGAACATCACAAAACCACCACGGGACCACCAATTTTTCCCTCCTCCCCTTCGCGATCCGCTACCGGAGCAGCCCCTTTCATCCATCACAGTTGAGGCGGAGGCAGGCCGGTGGTGCTTTTCTGGAAGAAGCAAACGCGAAATAGTAACGATGGAGAACCAGGGGAGACGATGAAGAAAGAGAAGTGTATGATTTGGAGCAGAGACTGAACCGCGTCCGGCTCCAATGCGCCGAAAGACGACGTACAAAACGCAGGGCATCCATGGAGAAGCCGAGATGATGACGGTGGGAGAAGGAAAGACAGAGAGAGAGAGAGAGAGCCGATACTGGATGTAGAAGGAACTGGATGTAGAAGGTCCTGGAAGGTAGAAAGAGGCGGTGGAATGTGGATCGGTGGGAATGTGGGATTAAAGTAACCCAATATACTAACTAAAATAACCAACATAAGTATGGGGACGAAAATTGACAAAAAATGGGCAAGTTTACTGTTACTTTTCTTCACAACTTTAATATATATATAATAATAATTACTCTGTTGCAGTGTTGCTTGCGGAATAAAAGAAAAAGTCGCATAACATATTAGAAAAGTTGAGGTACTATATTAAAGATCTCTTATAGTTCGAGGACCAAAGTAGAAAAAGAATGATAGATAGTGGACCAAAGCAGAACGGGTCGATTGGGATGCGACCCGATCATCTCATCCATTTTCATCCTCGATATCATATATCTCCGATCATTTCACTCTTGAACTTAAAAATCGGTTCTTCAACCATAAATCCACACTCATTTCAAACAATAATTCTCGACCTGCTGATCGGAAAGCTTCCTAAATTCAAGAATCAGAAAGTTTAGGTCAACAATGTCATTGGAGCCTCCGCCGTTTCAAGAATCTGCACGCTGCGACGTTTGTAAATGCAGTTTCAACACCTTCAGACGACGGGTATTCGTTTGAATCTTCCATAATTCGATTGAAATTAGCTGATAATTCATATATTGCTTCAAATTTTATTGTTTATTGAAATTTGTTTTTGGTGTCCTTGTACCTTTTAGTGTTGGATCTTTGTTATTATCATATGGAATTACTTTACAAGTGATGAACTATGAACCTTGGATCCTACTCGGAAAAGGATGCATTCCGAGAAGCAAAGTTGATATGGTGCTTGCTCCAGATTTAATAAACATAAATTGTTCCTAGTGATTACTGTATACAAAGTTTCTTTATAAGTTCAAGAACTATTATCTATCTCCAAGTTATAATCAGTAGTTAATTACTCTATGCTTAGTGAAAGATAAAAATCTCTACAGTTTTTTCTTGAAAAGATTTGTTAATATTAATGCTTACATATCTTTATGTTTCCCTACCATACTTCTCATATGTAGCATCATTGTCGATGTTGTGGTCGAACCTTGTGTGCTGAACATTCATCAGATCAAATGGTATGTTATGCAGACTCAAAACTTCTTTGAGCTACTGTTATCAATAAGTCCTAAAAGATTGTTGAAACAGTTGATATTGTGGACTCTTTTCAGGCTTTACCACAATTTGGTCTCCACTCACCTGTTAGAGTTTGCTCAAATTGTTATAATGATGCATCTCGGTAAGTATTAAAGATTGAGACACCATTTTGATTATACTGACTTTGTTGTAGGTGTATCTACCTCATTATTCATTTATTTGTTAATTAGACATTTTCATTCTATAGGACTGGAAATTCTGGTGGAGCTGCTTCTGTGAATGGAGTAAATTCTGTGACAGATTCGGTTTCAAGGCTAGATATTAGTACACCTTCAAATTCCAATACAAATCAAAGTGCTGCTGTAGATTGCAAGTGTGGAATGCCTTTATGTATTTGTGAGGTGCCTTCAAATGATGATGTGGCTCCTGTGCAGGCAAGTCATACTCATTTTAATCACATTCAATTGCATCATACTAAGAACCTTTATGCGTGTTTGCTTTGCCAATTCTGATGGAATTGGAATTCGAGATTCCATTCCATGTTTGATGGATTTCACAGTTTCTCGGGGAGGGTGGAAGGATCCCAATTCCATTCTTCTTTTTCTATCAAGATTCAAGAAAACAGAAAACCCTCATTGGAATTGAAAAAAACAATAGTTTAATATACATATTTAGAATAAGCAAACAATATATAAATATACATAAAATTCAAAAACTACATGATTTTTAATTTTTTATTGTATGGACTTGTGCTTTGCTTGCAGCCTAAACCCTTCCCCACTTCCACCATTCCCAGTATTTCAAAAACAAAGAAAACAGACACAGCACCAAGGAGTAGAGCTTCTTCATCTAGCAAGTACAGGTATATATTTTATTTTTTATTATTTTTTTTTGTAATTGTTTGCACAAACACAGTTTCTTCTGTTTGCTGCAATTTCTTCTAGAATCTGATAGAAATCTAATTTTCTCTACCTAATTTTAGATTTCACTCCTTTTCCCTTTTCTCACATTAACCACATGCCACAAAACATTCTCATACATTATATCTTATTTCTATTTCATTCCATCAACCCATTATATAAATTATACTAATATGTCTCCATATTCGTTTTACTTCCCAAAATAATATATATTACATAAAAATTTGAAATTGAGGATGTTACATATTGGTTTCTCTAAGACCACATTACCATTCATTCATGTTTACTCAAAGTCCAAAACATCTTTTAAATTTTTGTCATACAATTCTTTTGTCTTGTTTTTTTTCTTCCATTTTAAGTCAAAAAGTAATTTGTTTTACATCCAAAAATCAAAAGGTAACACCTAAAGTGGAATAAATGGCACATTTTAGTTCAATTTTGTTCAAATTTAACATACAATAATTTGCAGTAGTGGACAATCATCCAACACTGACTCAGAAAAACCACTGGGAAACTATGAAGTTAATGGAGAGGTATGGAATCTTGAAGTACATATATAGCAAGACATGGTAGAATATTGTGCAAAATAGATAGCTGTCATTTATTTCTCTTTTTTCTCTTTTTTCTCTTGTTTTTTTTTGTTCTCTTCTTGTTTTGCATATGCTTTTAATATAACCCATTTTTGTTTAATGTTTATGTAAATTTATTGATGCATAATTTTTCTCTGAAGTCCATGATTTTAATTAAATCAACATTTATTTTCCAAAAATTAACTAGAAAATGTAGAGTTAGTCAGTTATTTTCTTTTTATCAAAAACTTAATTGGGTTTTTTCTAGGTTTTATAATGTTCAATTTGTAATTGGGCTTCACATTCTATATGTTACTTTACCTAGCATGTTGAATTTAGTCCCATGAACATATAGTTTCTTAAATTATGATCTGTGGTAACAATAACATTTTAAAAACTCAATAATTTAGCATTTTATATTCTTTTTGGGTAGGGGTTACGGGAAGCTATAAAGAATGGCGACTTATTTTCTGTCAGAAAGCTTCTTGGTGAGGTAAGGATTAAGGAAGATATCATTTAATACTTAGTACCAAATTATTTTTTTACAAAATATTTTAGAAAATGATGGCATATTTGGGGAAATTGAAGAAACAAATAAATAAATGAAGGACGCTTTGTAAAATATACTGAGTGTGCTGTCTGTTGTAGGGAGTGGATGCAAATTACTGTGACAAACAAGGATTATCTCTCTTGCATCTGGTTCTCTCTCTCTCTCTCTCTCTCTCACACACACACACACAGTATCTATAACTGTAGGTTGCATTTTTAAAAACTCTATAATTGGGTCGCATTTTTAAAGAAAAATGTCCTAATAAGAACAAAGTTGAAAGTTCAATGCTATTGTTGAGTTGATTTTTCAAAGTACAATGCCTTAATAAGAAAATAATGTGTCTGTGTGTGTTTTTCTGTTTTCTCAATTTTAACAGTATTTGTTGATTTTAGGCTGCGGTTTTCAACCAAACTGAGATAGCTTTCACACTCATGGAAAATGGAGCAAGTCTGGACTACAAGAACTTGCAGGGTATATGACTATATTCCATTCACTTTTAAATTAATTTTAGAATGTCAAAGAAATCTAATAAGTTTTGGTTTACTTCTTTTACTTCTAATCAAGCGATAAATAAGAAAGAGAAAAAAATTACAACTTTATAAGTACAATGCTATAATAGAAATTAAAAATGTAGCTATCCAACTGATTTTCATTTTCAGGGGAAACTCCACTTGATTGTGCTCCTGTAACATTGCAATTCAAGATGAAGAAGAAGATGGAAGAAATTAAACAATCCAAGTAAACATGAATATCATCTTTCGACCTCATTTCCTAAAACTTTATCTGCTTCTTCTACGAATTATGTGTGTAATTCTAACTTTTGGAGACCATTCATATTATATTTTATCTTTATGTTCTCCCAAAGAAGCAAAAGAGATCAAATAAGCAAAGGGAAATTTATGTAATCTTTATCTGTCAAAAGTTTTTTTAAGGGGAAATTACGGTTGATGTGGTTTGAAATGAAACTGAGGCTAGAATAACTATTTATAACAAAGTCATAAAAATATTTGAAATGAAAGTTTTTCAGTAAACTGGCTCGATTGAAAATACCCAAAAATGCCCTTGACCAAAGTCGTACCCCGATGCTTATGCAAATGCCTAGAATAACTCCAATTGTTGATGATTTTCCTCTAGGTGGATTAGGATCACATGTGACGCCCCCCATTTCATTGATAAAACATTCACCATCACAAGAAGCGCATGCTGAGTCAACTAAAACACATAAAAAACACAAAACACCGTTTATAAATCACAAAAACACTAACCATAAGTACCTTAAGAAAGAAAAGATACATAGATTACATACGTTGGCATCCATCAAGTAGATATGGGCTTCCGTCTTCAGATGGATTACAAATACATTTGTAAGATGTAATGGAAGCAGTAGCATTACCCATATAAAGAAACTCTCTTACCATAGAAGCATAAGCTCTTTGATCAATATCCACCCGTCTTAGGGTCCACCGAAGTGAAACTGGAACAAACAAGTTGTCAACAATGGCAGATTGCCCAGAAAACCTGCCAGCAGGGTATGAAAATCTATCCACCAGGAAGGCAGATCCACAAACTCCAGTTCCACCAGAATCCTGTCTTTTCAAGCTTGTAGTATCGATGGTGTATGTTTTAAGATAGTACGGAATCGTGGTTTGGCAGCAGTTGACCCCATAACAATCGTCTCTTTGGTTGGTGGTTTGGTTTTGGCATATCGTCGAACACCTTGTGACCAAGTTCTCTCCTTGATCCAAGATAACTGCATTTCCACACCCTTCAACAGTGAATTTGTTATCATCTCGAGAAAACAGAAAGGGACTCTCACCCAATTCGACGCTACTATTCCGAATTGGGTCTCCACACTCAGAAATCACTGAGATATTAACTGTCGCTATTTGATTCTCAAAATTCACAGACAACAATTCCAGGTTGTTTATCGCAGAAAGGTATGGTGTCGATGAGTTGCAATCAACAGCATACCATTTGTTGATATAACACCCTGTTCCGATTCCGAATGGGTATGGAATCCGGACGTTCCCGCACATGTCTTTGCATCCAGCCTCGCGTAAATTGGAGTTGATGTTGCTGCTGATGCTAATGGAATCGCTATAAACAAGTATAATTGCAGCAATTTCATTGTTGCAAACAAGTTCAATACGTGATTGTGGTGAGGAATAGGTGTATATATTGGTCGCCATACCAAAAAATTGTGTGAATGAGGATTAACGATGTGATGTCTTGAGTTGCGTTTCAAACCCAAAATCGGAATGTAATTTCCTTCACATATTTCCGACTGATTCATCTTGTTGTTTGCTGATTGATGCAAATATATGCTTTGGAAGAAAATTCGAAGAGGTATCGGTGATTGGAGTTCGTATATAGTTCTTGAGTCACCATGTCAATACTGTGCTTGGAATTTGGACTCTCAAATAGATTATGAGTAAATTACATGTTTGGTTTTGTAAGGCGTAAGCTTACTAAGTATAATATCTTTAGTCCAAATGTTTTGTTTTGTTGCAAATATGGTCCCTAATTCAAATTATATTATCACCAGTTCAACCCTCACTCTTCACTCTTTTGCCTTAAGCCGTTAGGACCCCACATGTGTAAGTCACATAAGGGTATTTATGTCATTTTTCCTGTATCTTGTAAACAATCAAGAATTTGAGAGAGAAGAAATGATTTTCAATCTTCATTGTATTGATTAACTAATTACAAAGAAGATAACAAGAACAATATATACAGACTACTCTATCAAAATAACGACTGCTAACTAATTAGTAATTAAATTACTATAATACCCCTAACAACAATAACTGAATAGAGAAGCTAACACCCCCCCCCCCCCCCCTCAAACTGGGGGGTATGGAAGTAACCTAAGTTTGTTTGTTGCATCTTGATGTGCTGGTCCATAGAGAGGTTTGGTAAAGACATCAGCCAATTGTTGTTGAGTAGAAACATGAGACAAAGAAATCAGACCAGCTTGAAGCTTCTCTCGAACAAAATGGCAATCGAGTTCAATATGTTTGGTTCTTTCGTGGTATACAGGATTAGCTGCAATGTAAATAGTAGCTTGATTATCACACTTGAGAGGAATAGGGGTAATATTGTCCACTTGTAATTCAGATAAAAGACGGCTTAGCCACGCTAATTCTGCACACACACGTCTCATAGACCGATATTCTGCTTCAGCAGATGATAAGGAAACAGTGACTTGCTTCTTTGACTTCCATGAAATAGGAGTATCCCCAAACAGAATAAAGAAACCACTAACACTTCTTCTTGTGATTGGACATGATGCCCAATCAGAATCACAGAAAGCTTCAATGTTAAAAGAAGGATTTTTATTGAAAAATAATCCTTGTGTTTTAGTGCCTTTAAGATATCTTAATACATGCATGGCAGCATTGTAATGAGCTTGACATGGAGTTTGGCTAAATTGACTCAAATATTGAACTGAGTATGCCAAATCTGGTCGAGTATGAAGAAGGAAATTCAATTTCCCAATGAGCTGTCTGTATATAGTGGGATCTGGCAAAGGGTCTTCCATTAAAGACAATAAATGAAGTTTCGGTGGTAAAGGAGTGGTAGTGATAGATTGTTCTTGCATTGAATAAGCAGAAAGAATTTCGTTGGAATACTTTTGTTGATTAATCACCATTCCGTTTGCAACTGTATTAAACTCTATGCCCAAAAAATAATGAATGTGTCCCAAATCCTTGATTTGAAATTGATTATGAAGTGAATCCTTGAGAGATTGAATTTCTATGTCATCATCTCCTGTGACCAATATATCATCAACATATATGTCAACAATGACTATGTTGGTAGAATTTTTCTTTATGAAAAGTGAATAACCATTTGATGACCTGTGATATCCTTTAAGAACAAGAGCAGAAGAAAGCTTATCATACCACTGTCTTGATGCTTGCTTTAAACCATACAATGATTTTTTAAGTTTGCAAACAAGTGAAGAAGAGGAAAGAGAAAGACCAGGTGGTGGCCTCATATAGACTTCTTCATAAAGGTCCCCATGCAGAAATGCATTATTTACATCAAATTGATGTACATTCCAACCCCTTTTCATGGCTATAGAAACCATGCATCTAACAGTGGTGAATTTTACAACTGGTGAAAAAGTTTCATTGTAGTCTATCCCCTGTTTTTGAGTAAAACCCTTTGCTACGAGCCTCGCTTTATGTCTTTCTACAGTACCATCTGCTTTGTATTTGATTTTGAATACCCATCTACAAGCTATTGGTTTCTTCCCTTTTGGCAATTTTACAATTTCCCAGGTGTAATTTTTCATCTAAAGCTAGTAACTCTTTTCTCATAGCTTCTTCCCACTGAGGCTTACCTTTAGCTTCATGATAAAAGGCAGGTTCAATTTCCATGAGTGGAAAATGAGATGAGTTTTTGGTAACAGCTAAAGAAACACTTTGAATCTGGGAAGGAAGACCAATACATAAATTGGTGAGAGTGTGAGAACAAGAAGAAGATGCATCTGTAACAACATAATTACAAATATAATCTTGAAGATGAATAGGTGGGTGAGATATTCTGGTTGTTCTCCTTAATAAAGGTTCTTGAATAGGTGAATCAAGGGAGGAAGAAGTAGCTGGAGAAACATTATTACCAGAACTGGGGACAAAATTGGGATCAGGGGTAAAATCGGAATTTTGAACATCAGGATCAGAAATAGGAATGGGAATGAAAGAATTTATGTCAGGAAAAAGATAAAGAACGATCTGATGAGTGTAATGGGAAATTATTCTTAAAGAATTTGACATCTCTGGAAATCGAAATAGACTTGGTTACCAAATCTAAAACTTTGTATGCCTTTTGCCCAGGAGGGTAACCAATAAAAATGCATGGATTGACACGTGGCATGAATTTATCTCTTCCTTGAGTTAATGATGAAACATAACATAATCAACAAAAACTTCTTAGTTGATCAAATGAAGGTTGTTCTTTATACATAATTTGAAAAGGACTTTGACCATCTAGAACTTTGGAAGGCATTTTATTGATTAAATGAACTACAGTCTTGACACAATCACCCCAGTAAGCAATACCAATTCCTGACTGAAAATAAAGAGCCCTGGAAGTGGCTAAAATATGTTGATGTTTTCTCTCAACAACTCCATTTTGTTGAGGATTGTAGGGAGCAGATTTTTGATGTAAAATACCGTTATCTTGAAAAAATGAAATGCCTTCTGAACTTGATCTCAACTCCATAGCATTATCAGTTCTGATAACTTTGACCATTGTATGAAATTGTGTCTTGACCATTTTTACAAAAGATTTGATAAGATGCAAGGCATAATGTTTATGTGACATCAAGTGTACCCATGTATGCCTACTGTGATCATCAACAATGGTGATAAAATACTTAAAACCATCATATGTAGCATGTTTATAAGGTCCCCAAACATCAACATGGATCAAGTCAAAAGGATTTTTGGATATAGTATCACTGATGGGAAATGGTAATTTGTGTTGTTTAGCTTTAGCACAAACAAGACATGAATCAATAGTCATTTCATTACATTTTGAAGAAACAAGAGAAAGTTCTTTCAGTTTGGCTAAAGGAACATGGCCTAATCTGTTATGCCACAACATTGTTTGAACATTAGAAGAAAGAGTGAATACAGACGTTTGACAAGACAAAGAAGAAGGAAAAACAGAGAAATTGTAAACTAAAGACTGCTTGAGTTGATGATGTTCAAACACATATAGATCATTGATTCTTTTGCCAAGTACGCCAAGAGCAAAACTATTTTTCAAGCAAGGGTCCTGCAGAAGACAATTTTCATCAGTGAAAATTGCAAAAGTCTTAAGATGAGAAGTGAGCTTAGGAATAGAAACAAGATTATACTTGAAGTCAGGAACATATAAAACTCCATGAAGAGTTATGGAATCATGAATTTCAACATCACCAATGTAATTGACAAAAGTCCCCTGACCATTAGGAAGCCCAAGAGATTGAGGCTGAATAAGTTTTGTGAGAGAAACAAAGTAATCTTGATTAGAACAAATATGGTCAGTGGCTCCTGAATCTATGATCCAAGAATTATGTGTTTGAAGAAGATGCGAGGACTTATAAGCATTTGCACAAAAATGTTCAAAAGAAAAGGATGTACCATTAGGATTAAGAGAGCCTGCAGTAATGGCAGAATTGACTTGAGATGATGAAGAGTTGTTGTTGATTGATGTTGTATTCAGTAGTTGAAGAAGTTGTTGATATTGCTCAGGAGAAAAAGTGATGTTAGATGTGGAACTAACATTGTGAACAGCAGAAGAAGACTCATCTTTTCTTCCTTTTGTGAACTTGAATGTAGAGGGAAATCCAACAAGTCTATAACATTGAGACTTTGTATGACCTGTCTTCTTGCAGTGGGTACAGGTAAGATTCTTCTTAGAAGACTGAGAATTGGAATTATTAGAGACATTCATAGCAATTGCATCACTGTTAAAGACAGGAGATACATTGATTTCTCTTTGATGTTCTTCTTGAATGAGTAAGGCATAAGCAGTAGACAACGTAGGCAAGGGTTTCATCATGAGAATCTGACCTCGGATGATTTTGTATGAATCATTAAGCCCCATGAGAAGCTGAATAAGCTTTTGATCTTCAAAAAACTTGTTAAGAGCAGTTGCTGCACTACACGAACAAGCTGGAAGATCTTGTACCATACGTAACTCATCCCATATCTTCGTGAGTTTGGTGAAGTAAGTAGGAAAATCATCTGAGCCTTGAGACATTGAATATAGTTGTTGTTGAATCTGGTAAATCAATGCACCACTGGACTGTTCATATCGTTGATCCAGTTCACTCCAGATCTGAGATGCAGTTTGAAGAAAAAGAACGTTATCTGCGATATTTTTGTGAAGTGAAATTAAAATCCAGCTGATAACCATGGAATTTGCACGAAACCAAACATGATATATAGGAGAATTAGACACAGGTTGAGAAATCGAGCCATCAACAAGACCTAGCTTGTTCTTTGTAGACAGAGCAATAATCATTGTTCGTTTTCATGCGTTGAAACCAACGCCATTGAAGACATTAGTGACAAGAACAATACTTGGATTATCAGAGGATCCAAGGTAAAATGGATTAGAAACAGAAATTGAGTCAATTGTAGATTCTCCTGACATGATTGAAACAATCAATTTGAAAAAGAAATCGATTGAAGATGAAATCGAGTGAAAGGAAGAATGATTGAAGATGAATGCGGAAAGAAATTGAAGATTGAATCAGAAATTGAAGTTCGGATCGTTAATCTGATACCATGTAAACAATCAAGAATTTGAGAGAGAAGAAATGATTTTCAATCTTCATTGTATTGATTAACTAATTACAAAGAAGATAACAAGAACAATATATACAGACTACTCTATCAAAATAACGACTGCTAACTAATTAGTAATTAAATTACTATAATACCCCTAACAGCAATAACTGAACAGAGAAGCTAACATATCTTTTTCCATTGGCTCTTCTAAGAAGAGAGAAAAGTGGTATTCATTCTCATTCTTCGATCTTCGTCAAACATAAATCCTCTCATTTGAAAATGGCTTTTTGTGCGTGTGGTTGATCTACTGTGATACAACATCTTGGACATCCAACAACCCTATACTTATGCTTCCAAGTGGTAATGGTTAAGATTTGTTAATTTCTTTAGTTGGTAACTTCGAAAACAACACTTAACTTGAATGCATGGTACCAAATGTGAATTCTTTAGGCAGGTTGATCCTTTGACGTGTTCAATGGTAATGGATGTCATTTAGACCTGCAAAACCTAACCCCCATATGACACGACAACCCTAACATTTGAAAAAAAAGTTTCTTTAATCCATTTAGTAAACTTTAACCATTTGTCTACATTATAATTCATTTTTTATAGTATTTTATACTTTTTTGGCTTACAAAAATGTGTAGATTAAATTAAGATGAAATGAAAGATATCTTAATTTATTAAATTTCCTAGCTTGTTTATGAATTACAATATACTAAAGATAAATATACCCATATAATCACGGCATCATACCATTCCCCATAATGGTTAAGACACCTAAAACACATCAATATCGACTTTGTCGTACTCTGGTACCTAAAGAGACCAAATGAAGAAAATTATTAGCAAAAGTAGTATAGACCAAAATGTATAACACTAAAGAAACATGGTCACAATAATCATTTTTCACCAACACAACACCAAGAGGTGTCTGCCAAACAAGCAACAAGGAAACTAAGAAACATCCCGCTAAGACAGAGGATTAACACCTCCAAAATGAAGACATAATGCATACAAAGCATGTAAGATCACAAATTCATATTTTCCAGGTCTATGACTACAGTAAAATATCATTCAACAAAAACAACCTTCTTATCCTCCATTCACCTATATTTGTAAGAGAGAATCTCATTGTCAAGAATGTATAAATAAAATTTCACCATCATTACACAACATCCTTGCTTGAAGTAGTAATGTATACAAACATTCTGCAACAATTATATCGCCTTAAAAAACACGTTAAAAGAAAGCACATCCTTAATAGTTTCCAACAGGCCCTCACTCAACACCACTACATAGTAAAGCATCAACATCTAGAAACTAAATTGTCAACACTACTAGATACTTAGCACGCTAGATACTAAATGATTAATACAATTATCAACACCACTAGATACTAACTCATCAACACCCCTAAATTATTTACACAACTAGATACTCAACAATAGATATTAAATCATCAACATCACTATATACTCAACACCACTAGATATTAAATCATAAAGACCACTAGAATTAAATCATCAACACCACTAGATACTAAATTGTCAACATTACCCGATACTTAACATTAGATACTAAATGATCAATACTACTAGATACTAAATTAACAGCACCATTAGATATAAAATCATCAACACTACTAAATCATCAACACCACTAGATACGCAATACCGTTTGATATTAGATCATAAACATCATTGATAGTAATCATCAACACCACTAGATACTAAACCAACAACATTACTATATACTAAATCATCAACACCACTAGTCTTTTTTTGGAACGACAAATCTAATGTACTCCTAAACTACTCCCCATTCTGCTTATGTCCTAGACGGGATTTGAACCCTTGACCTCAAGAATGGAGGACAACATCTGAAACCACTAGATACTAAATCATCAATATTTAATAGATATTGAACACCAATACATACTAATAATCAACAACATTAGATATTTAACCATCAAAAAGCATTTTATTATCCATGCTCAACATCTTACAACTCTCCTTAACATCCAACCTCGCTCTTGTATATCAAAAACCTTACCCTCCCTATCGTCTAGTTCAACCTCAAGATGATAAGGCTCACAAATAGCTTCCTGACACAAGTTTGTAATTTGGTCATACCTTTCGTCTCCGACTCAATATGACTATTGGTTGCACACAACATAAGGCATTGACTTTTAACATCCGTCTTCAACTGTACATCTTTGTCTTGTATTGGGTCAAGACATCACAAGCCTAGTTGCATCAACGTGTATACAAACAATTCGGTAGCTTTAACCCAAATGTCCTAACTAAAATATGCTTGAGTGCGCCACCGCATGTTATTAAGGGGAGGAGAAAAACAAGTAACCTCACACACATGAGCAGAATATAAGAGATTAAGAAACACAACGTAAATGCATGCACAGCGGAAAATATAACAAATTTCAGAAAGTCCATAGTAAGATCTCTAAATTCATATGATATAAATAAGAAGTACAACATAGAATATTTTATGGTAAAAAATAAAATAATAATTCAAGTAAATCAAACATTCCAATCAAGTCATACTTGTTGATGTCATATCATCATCATATGATAGCAAAATCATTTCTTCATCTATTCCACCATTATACATCGACTTCCGATAACCATGTCCAAATGGTACATAACTTGACCTAATTCTTTCCAACTCTAACGCCACTTCTTTCATCGTGGGCCTATTCTTCCCGTTCAAATTCAAGCATCTCACCGCCAACTCAGCCACCGCCATAACCTCAAGCTGACCACCCTCCTCCACGATCCTCTGATAAAAAACCGCCATCCCCTCACCTTCTTCCATAGCCAACATAAAATGAGTAGCCAAACTTCTATGCTCACCGATTCGCGTCATTGAAATTGGCCTTTCACCCGTCAAAAGCTCAACCAATACAACACCAAAACTATAAACATCGCTCTTTTCTGTAAATTGACTCGATTGAAAATATTCCGGATCCAAATACCCGAAAGTCCCCTTCACTAACGTCGTCAAATGTGTTTGATCAATTGATACGAATCTCGAAGTCCCAAAATCGGAAACTTTTGCTCGAAATTTGTCATCCATAAGTATATTAGTCGATTTAATGTCTCGATGGTATATCGGAATTGAAGTAACAGAATGTAAATAAGCGAGAGCTCCGGCGATCTCGGTTGCAATTCGTAACCTTGTGTTTAATGTCATTGGGAACTCCTCAGTTTCATTGTGAATATGTTCGTATAAAGTCCCATTTGATACAAATTCGGATACAAGAAGAGGGACTTCGGTTTCTAAACAACATCCGAAAAGTTTGACCACGTTCCGATGGTTGACTTGTGATAAGATAACCACCTCGTTGATGAACTGTTCTAATTGGCTTTCATCTACTATTTTTGATCTTTTTACAGCTACAATCCTTCCATCAGTTAACATGCCTTTGTAGACAGTGCCTTGGCCTCCTCGACCGAGGATTCGATTCTCACTGAAGTGGTCGGTTGCTTTTTCTAACTCTTTCGCGGTGAAAAGTGTGGTTTTGTTGACTATGCCTTCATCGGCGGATTCTTGTTGTTTTAGAAGTAGGCCGCCATTACGTTTGAAAAACCGTGCTTTTTGTCTTTTGTCTTTTGTTTTTTTGAGTAGTTTGTAAAGTGCGAAGATGATTGCCACGAGAAGTAGTACCCCGACGCTTATGCTAACACCTACAAAAAAAAAAACACAATAATTTTGAAAGGTTAATTCCATTTTCAAAACAAGCAATCAAGTTCAAACACAACATTTCGAGGTTTCGGGGTTCGGTTTAAAGATATTTGAAAAAATAATTGCAGACTTGAGGAAATGGGAAACAAGTGATGGAAAATTTGTAAAAACTTTATGACTTAATGGGGGAAAACCGTATTTCGATGAGTTTCTTCATTGAGTCATTGTTTTTGCAACAAGTAGAAAAAAGAAACAACACCTTACTATATATAGCTTATCAGATTATATGTTATCATTATTAAGTCCATTAAGTAAAAAAGAATCAACACCTTACTAAGTTTAAATTATGTATGTTCGCCATTTAAATAAGTTTAAATTATGTATGTTCGCCATTTAACGAGTAACTTGTGGCTTTTGTTTTTACCTAGAATAACTCCAAGCGTTGATGATTTTCTTTTAGCTTGAGAGAGAGGATTAGGAATGCATGTAATGTTCCCCTGATATACCTAACATTCACCGATACAAGTGGCACATTCTTTAACAACTAAAACACACAAAAACGAACACCTCCGGTTATAAATCACAACAACACAAACAAAAACAAAAACAAGAGCATTTGAAAGTAGCTAATGAAAATAAATATTGATTAGTGAAATAGATTGCATACCTTGGCATCCATTAGTTAAATACGGGCTTCCTTCTTCAATTGGCCTACAAGTACATTTGTAAGATTCATTGTTGGTACCATTACCCAGATAAAGAGTCTCTCTTGCCATAGAAGAACAATCTCTTTCACCAATTTCTTCTAGTCTTAGAGTCCACCGAAGTGAAATTGGAACAAATGTGTTCTCAACAATGGCAGATTGCCCAGAAAACCTGCCAGGCAAGTACATTTGTTCATCCACCAGGAAGGCAGACCCACAAACTCCACCTGGACTCTGCCTTTGCAAGCCTGTAGTGTCAATGCTGTATGTTTTAAGATAGTAAGGAATCGTGGTTTGGCAACAATTGATCCCATAACAATCGTCTCTCTGGTTGGTAGTTTGGTTTTGGCATATCGTTGAACACCCTGTGACCAAGTTTCCCCCTTGATCCAAGATAACTGCATTTCCACACCCCTCAACCGTGAATTTGTTATCTTCTCGAGAAAAGAGGAAAGGGCTCTCACCCAAGTCGACGCTCAAGATTTGACTGTTATTCCGGATTGTGTCTACACAATCAGAATTCATTGAGAAATTAACTGCCATCGTTTGATTTTCCAAATTCAGAGACAATAGTTCTAGGTTGTTTATCGCAGAAAGGTAAGGTGTCGATGAGTTGCAATCAACAGCATACCATTCGTTGATATAACACCCTGTCCCGATTCCGAATGGGTACGGAATCCGGATTTTCCCGCACATATCTGTACATCCGGGTCTCGCGTAAATTAGCGTTGATGTTGGTGCTAATGCTAATGAAATCAATATAACCAAGGACAATTGCAGCAATTTCATTGTTACAGACAAGTTCTAGCTGGGAATGTCGTGAGGAATTCTTGTATATATTGGCCACCATCGTGAAGAATAGTTGGAACGAGTAGTGATGTTTTCAGTTACGTTTCAAACCCGAAATCCAAAAAAAAAAGAACAGAAAATCTATCTGATTAATCTTGTAGTTTGCTGATTTAGGGATGTATTTCCTCTTGTTGGAAGAAAATTCGAAGAGGCTTCGGGTGAGTGCAGGTTGAGCAGTTCTAGAGAGACCAAATCATACATGGCGTTTAAAATTTCAAACACAGCAACAACACACCTCATTTGACTGCCTGTGGAGTGTGGAAATATATATTTACATAGTGTTCAAAACAGGGTTGTCAGGATGGGATGTTGATGTTAAGATCCTTAAACATCCTAGGATCCTATCTATAAAAACTTTGTTGGTTCACAATAATAGGATCGTTTTATATGTAAGATCGTAATTAGGATCATACTGTTCCATTGAAATTGTCAAATTTTGATTCGGTTTTTATTATCTTTATCCATTTACAGTCGACTTGGGCCCCTTATCCAATGCACAATCGAAATTGCCCTATTTTTGTACAGTTTTTTGAACCGTAAATGACAAACAACCATATTTTTTTTCACTTTTACATTTTATCCTCATCGATGGTAGAATTTGAGATTTAGTTTTGGCTTTTCATTAATTTCTTCCTTCGATAGTTCAAGATCAACAATAAAGGTGAGCCTTTTTCCGGTTTCTTTTCTTTTACTGTTCAAGCCTTTTTCCTTAAGAGTTGAGAGCTTGAGAAATTTTGGTTTTTTAATAGAATTTCAAAAGTTGAAATTGTTATCGCTTTCATCCTTATAGTTATAACATGAAAGTTGTGAGTTGCTATTTTTGTATGATAAATAATTAATATTAATACGCTTTTTAACTGTTTAACCATGTCATTAACCATCTAAACTCAAGAAATAATACAAAATTACAAACTGCCACTATCAGAACTATCAGAACCAGACAAATGAAAAAAGTAAATAATGTGAAAACATAAAAACACTATTTTTATGTTATTATTTTGCAATGAATTTTGTATCCTCAGTTTTATGTCATTATTGAATAGATGAATAATCACATGTTAAAACTAATATTAGAATTTACTACAATAATGCGCATAAACAAAATTTATAATAGAATAATAACATTCTAATGAATATATGAATAATCAAATGTTAACATTCAATTACTTCAATAATACACACATACAACATTTATTGCAGAATAATAACATAATCATAGTGTTTTTACGTTTTCACACTATTTACTGTTTTTATTCGAACTTACTTCTCGGAACCTATAACTAAATTAATACCTTACATTATTTGTTAGTTTAGATCAATATAACTAGCTCAATGTTCCACATTCACAACATAATTTGAGAAAACCACACCTTATGAAGTTCAAATAACCTTATGATCAAATAGTCGTGTTTTTCTAAGAATGTCTATAATGGTTCTTGACAAACCTTGGGGATGAAACTTGAAACCTTTTTTTGGATGATAAAGTAAATGTCGGTAAGACAAATGAGGAATATAGGGGGAATGACATAAATACCCTCACATGACTTGTACATAAGGGATGTTAAATAGTAAATTGAGCAAATGAGGATGAGCATTGATAATACAGTTTCAATATGGTGTTGAATCTATATGCCCAAGAATCATTATGGAGTGATATTGCTAATAATATATAATCATATAGGGTCACACATTTATCAAGTTGGCACATTTTGTATATTTATTATTAATGTGATTATTAATAAATAATATCGATTCTTGTATTAGGGAATAATTATTATTTTATATAATTATAAGAGTATAACTAGCCATTATTTCATATGATACGAATTAATAAGTCATGCACAACCTTTTGGACTAGTTGAATTCTTTTGTCTTTTACCTAAAGACAAAGTTTATATTTTATAAACTTTGAGTTTATAAAAATTGAAGAATCTTTCTTATTTTAAAAGGTATGGCCGAAATTAATCAAATATTATGGAGGTTGCTTGTCAACCTCCACGCCTTGCCCCATGCTTCTTGAAAAGAGAAGAGTTGATTTATATTATTTTAATGTAAAGCCCTTACCTTGCATGGACTATATAAGAGATGCAAGAGGCTTTCATTTTGGCTAAGTGAAACACTCTCTTCTTCCTCTTATTTCTTCACCAAAACTGTAAGATGCATCTTGCATCTTCTCGTGCTTTCTTTTGAAGATTATTCAAGTATTTGGTGGCTTAAAGTGCTTCTCCTTTAGTGCTTATTTGAGTTAAGCACTTAAAGGCTTAAGAAGTACGTTATACAAGAAGGAACTATCATTCTAAGTGCCTTACTCTTGATGGTGGATATTTATAGAGAAAATCATACTCTTTGATTTTTCTATCTTCATCAACACCCCAAAACCAAGTGGGTTCAAAGGCTTCAAAGGTTGTCATTCTAAACACTCTTGGGTTGTGTTTTTTATTTCATTCTAACCACTATAAATGGATCATTTATGGTTTGGTTTTATTATGAACTAAAAATAGACTTGTTATTTTTAAAGACTTCCGTTGCCCGTTTTTGTGAAAACAAACTTATATTTTGTATCAAATACCATCAATGGTATCAGAGCCATCTTTTATATGTTAGAATGATTTTTTATGTTTGATAATCTTTGGTTTTTGGAAAACAAGCATGAATTTCTTTTGGTAAGAAAAATCCATATTTGTATTCTTTGGCAACTTCCTAGTTAAAATTGTTTATTTTTATATATAACAATTTTTCATGCATTTTGGTTATATAAAAGTTGCCTTAGTAAAAACAAAGAGTTGTTTGTTATAATATTTGATATGTTGTTGTGTATAAACAAGTCATTTGGACATTTGTATTGTTTGGTTGATATTTATTTATTCATAAGATGTAACAGATAAATAGGTAATTTTTTATTTGTTGATTTGTTGTAATAAATTAGTTAGACTAGTTGTATTTCTTTTTAATTGTAACAAGATGGAGAAATGAGCTCTTTAGAGATGACTTAACCATTTAAGACCATAATCCCAACCATAAGCTTCTACTTTTGGTTTTGGGCTTAATTATAGTCGTAAGGGTTTAAGTGTTGCAACTTTCACAACATGAAGATTTGAAGTCCATTTGCAAGCAAGAGTTGACTTGGCAAGTGGGAGCTTTAAGACCTTTTGAAGTTTCTCTAAGTCATTTAGGAAAGACTTAATAATTCTTGTGATGACTCACAAAAATTATTACTAGACATGGCTTGGTTTATATACATTATAAAGCATGCATGTGAAATTTATTTTATGTTATTGTATGTTATGTTTTGTGTATGAAAATGAGTTTTACATGTCAAACAACATTTTAAAATAAGATAATATCACTTGGAGTTTGAGTAAAAATATTTAAAAGATAACATAAGATGTTTATAAATGGATATTTTTTACCGGTTAACCGATTAAAAATCGATTTTTCGTTGAAAATCGTTTTATTGTAGTACTTATGAATAACTAACTTTAAAATATTTGAAATGGTTTAAAAGGTGTTTAAACATTATATAAACTCCATGTCTTTATAATAAATAAGAGTTTTATTAGGTCATTGTGTGACTTATAGGAACATTCTAAAGTACTTGTGAGAACTAGAGAAATATTCCTAATATACGGAGTATTTGAAAGAAAGCTATGTTTAAAGTTGTTACACATGTGCTAAATTTTCAAATAGATTGAGATGACTCTCAGTCACAATCGGGTGTGTCCTCATTATCAATGACAAGAAAGTTACATGGATAGTGTTTCCATGAAGATTTTAATTACAGTTACACATCAGAGTAAGAGTACCTTGTGGTTTGGAGAACCACATACAAAGATGCTTAATGTATAGTTCATTATGACTATGAGTAATCCCATTACGCAAGTATTGGTATTTTAAGTCATATTTAGGCATCTAATTCATTCTCAATCGTTTTATTTATATAGGAGATATATATATAAAACTGAAAATGTTTGTATCCGCAAAGTTTATACAAATCAAGTTTGACAAATCTACTTGACAAAGCTCCTTCATTAGCTAAAGTATGAAAGTCAAGATGGTGCTATAGAGCCTTGTTGACATTAGTAGATGTATTTGATTGAAATTTAGTATTTGGATATTGGAACAGTACAAGCAACATTTACTGTAATGAATTGATATATTAGATATAAGTCTTTCATTGAATAATTGTTGTGTTCTATATTAGCATGTTTAAATCCTTGAATAACTAGGTTATTCTAAATGTCCATAGTCGTTCATAGTTGTGGGAGAATCTATAAGGTAAGACTAATATGAGTGGATTGGTTGATTTTCATGGAGATGAGAATTGCAAGAACTGCTACCAACTTCATAGGTACTTGATTAGGAGAATAAGTATTGGACTTGACCCGCATCAAAATCACTTTATGGATCGTAGTCATGAGTGATGTTTTGTTCAAGGTTGTATCTTTGTATTATTAGACCTGAGATACATATTTAGGACTTGAAGTGTAGGAATTGTTGTGCTTTGACATGGTTTAACACTGTTCCGTTAAAGGTAGTCATAAGGGCCATCGTTGGGTATGACTTGAAGGTAAAAGGTCTTCAATCATTTCGCATGTATGTGGAATAAGATGTGGACCAAAAGTCTTTTTTCATGTCTTTAGTCTTCATAAAATAATTTTTTGTTCTCTTAAAGTATTTTATAAAAAATAATTGTGGTGGTGGTGGTGGAGGAGGAGGGGTGGTGGCGGAGGCGGAGGCGGAGGAAATGACGTATGTGGTGGTAGTGGCGGAGGTGATGGCGGCGGGATCGGAAGCAATGGTGGAAAAATAAATATCACATTAAGATTAGAACTTAGAAAACGTCTTTCAAAATTCGAAGCTATTTTTTTATCTTCTGGAAAAAGAGGTCAAAAAGATATTATTATGTGTTTTGTCTTCTGAAAAACAAATCGTATTTTCCT